CTCATGTTTTGAGAAAATAATTGTAGATGTTGCCTCTAAGTCAGAAGTATGATGATGGTAAGATGTAACCCCTCTGTTACACACTATCATTGAGATGTACAGTAAGTCATATAACCTAGTCCCATCAGAGTTCTATCAGTCCCTGCAGTATCTAGAGCAGAGGAGGCTGGTGGGAGGAGCTATAGGAGGATGGGTCATTGTAATGGCTGGACTGGCATAAATGGAACGGTATCAAACACATCAAACATATGGGAAACACGTTGGACTCTGTTCCATTTATTCCACTCCAGCCATTACAATGAGCCTGTCCTCCTATAGCTCCCCCCACCAGCCTCCTCTGATCTAGCGCTTACTTTAAATGACTCACTGTGTTAGTGGTACCCTAAGTCCTGCCCAAAATGAATATAAAAAGCAGCTGTGGTATTCTTCATTCACCATGTGCCATGTGTTGGTTAAGAGAAAACAGGTGACTATGGAATGTTTGTTGGAACCAGTCCCCACATGCAATTAGGAGTCTGCTGATTTGTACAGATGTGCTTTCTAGAATCTAGATCCCTCCCATTGCATTCTAGATCCCTCCCTGTGCATTCTAGATCCCTCCCTGTGCATTCTAGATCTCTCCCTGTAGATTCTAGATCTCTTCCTGTAGATTCTAGATCCCTCCCTGTAGATTCTAGATCTCTCCCTGTAAATAATAATAATATGCCATTTAGCAGACGCTTTTATCCAAAGCGACTTACAGTCATGCGTGCATACATTTTTACGTATGGGTGGTCCCAGGGATCGAACCCACTACCTTGGCGTTACAAGCGCCATGCTCTACCAGCTGAGCTACAGAGGACCACAGATTCTAGATCTCTCCCCCACATATAATAATAATAATAATAGGCCTCCTGTAGCTCAGTTGGTAGAGCATGGCGCTTGCAACGCCAGGGTTGTGGGTTCGTTTCCCACGGGGGGCCAGTATGAAAAATGTATGCACTCACTAACTGTAAGTCACTCTGGATAAGAGCGTCTGCTAAATGACTAAAATGTAATAATAATAATAACTTATTCAACTTTCACAGCGCTATTCATTACATAAAGAACCTCAAAGAGCTTTAAAACAACACAAAAAATACAAGCAATTTAGAAAACAACAACATAATTCATGAGATGGAAGGTCATGAGAGGGTTGGAAAGTCCATGGCTTGAGTGATCATCGGAGGGAGGTGGTCAAAGGGGAGAGCAAGCAAAGATGGTCTCTGGAGCAAGTCCAGGGGAAGGCAGGCAGCACGGTGTCATCAAGGTGACTTGCTGTCCTTGCCGTCTGTGTGGCTTCTCCATAGTAGGACTCGGATGAAGTTTGAGCTCAGCCACTGCAGTTCATGGACTCCGTAGTAGGTGTTTCTTTAATACAGAAACATCTAATTTACATAAATATTCACACCCCTAAGTCAATACATGTTAGAATCACCTTTGGCAGCAATTACAGCTGTGAGTCGTTCTGGGTAATTCTCTAAGAGGTTTCCACACCTGGATTGTACATTTCACCGGTGATTCTTTTCAAAATTCTTCAAGCTCTGTCAAATTGGTTGTTGATCATTGCTAGACAACCATTTTCAGGTCTTGCCATAGATTTTCTGATAGATTTAAGTCAAAACTGTAACTCGGCCACTCAGGAACATTCACTGTCTTCTTGGTAAGCAACTCCAGTGTATATTTGACCTTGTGTTTTAGGTTATTGTCCTGCTGAAAAGTGAATTCATCTCCCAGTGCCTGGTGGAAAGCAGACTGAACCAGGTTTTCCTCTAGGATTTTGTCTGTGCTTTGCTCCATTACATTTTGTTTTTATACTGAAAAACTCCCCAGTCCTTAACGATTACAAGCATACCCATAACATGATGCAGCCACCACTATGCTTGAAAATATGGAGAGTGGTACTCAGTAATGTATTGTATTAGATTTGCCCCAAACATAACACTTTGTATTCAGGACAAATAGTTAATTGCTTTGCCACATTTTTTGCAGTTTTACTTTAGTGCCTTATTGCAAACAGGATGCATGTTTTGGAATATTTTTATTCTGTACAGGCTTCCTTCTTTTCACTCTGTCAAGTAGGTTAGTATTGTGGAGTAACTACAACGTTGTTGATCCATCCTCAGTTTTCTCCTATCACAGCCATTAATTAAACTCTGTAACTCTTTTAAAGTCACCATTGGCCTCATGGTGAAATCCCTGAGCGGTTTCCTTCCTCTCTGGCAACTGAGTTAGGAAGGACGCCTGTTTCTTTGTAGTGACTGGGCGCATTGATACACCATCCAAAGTGTAATTAGTAACTTCACCATGCTCAAAAGGATATTTATTTTTACCCATCTACCAATAGGTGTCCTTCATTGGAAAACCTCCCTGGTCTTTGTGGTAATTAGTAACTTCCCCATGCTCAAAAGGATATTTATTTTTACCCATCTACCAATAGGTGTCCTTCATTGGAAAACCTCCCTGGTCTTTGTGGTAATTAGTAACTTCCCCATGCTCAAAAGGATATTTATTTTTACCCATCTACCAATAGGTGTCCTTCATTGGAAAACCTCCCTGGTCTTTGTGGTTGAATCCGTGTTTGAAATTCACTGTTTGACTGTGGGACCTTACAGATAATTGTATGTGTGGGGTACAGGGATGAGGTAGTCATTCAAAAATCATGCTAAACACTTTTATTGCGCTGTTAAACATTTACGTCATTTAGCAGACGCTCTTATCCAGAGCGACTTACAAATTGGTGCATTCACCTTATAGCCAGTGGGATAACCACTTTACAATATGTTTATTTTATTTTATTTGGGGGGGGGGGTAGAAGGATTACTTTATCCTATCCCAGGTATACCTTATTAAACCTAACCTTTGGAATGACTTTGATAGCAACAGTGAATCTATTTAGTTTTTAAGTGGAGATCTGTCAACAATCATTCTCATGATAGCACATTGGTAATAGTCAGTGACAAATATCATAACTAAACAGGGCTTGGTTAAAACCCTGGATGGCAGACCAAAGGGTAGCTGTAGATAGATCACTTCTGCAGTAGGAGGTGCTGCCCACCCTTTTTTTTTTTTCCCTTCTGATAGTGGATTAAATCTAATGTTGTTTTAAATGTAGAAATTCAACATATTTTATACAAGGATTGTCTGTTGATATTTGGTTACCATGATGACATAATGCTGTAGTTTTAAAGTTCATCCTCAAAACGAAATGATGGTAGGTTATGATGATTCATACTGTAATGACAGGGTCCCTCTGAAATACTCGAAACGCTTTTAAAAATATTTTCCACTGTTTAAAAGCCGGATCATATTATATATATTTAATAGAAATAGTTATTCTGCCACAGCCATCTGGGGGAATTCCAGATATGAACTAGAGACCAGACCATGCCAAGTCTACGTTGCCTGCACTCTCAATAATATGAGCACTGCACCCACAGAAAGACAGTCACAATGTTCATAAAAGCAAGACAATCAAAAGTGCATTGGTAGAGAGGAAATGATCAATCCAGGGTTTACCTACTCAGACACATAAGGGTGCTGCACGATCAGCAGTTGACCTCTAACGACATAAAGCATTGCCTATATACATTATTTTGGTAAGTTATTTATTGTGCCATTAAATTAAAGATGAAAGTCTACACTTCAAGCACATCTGGATCGTTTCCTTTCAAATCCATTGTGGTGGCGTACAGAGCCAAAATGATGCAAATCGTGTCACTGTCCAAATTCTTATGGACCTGACTGTACATTCTTTTGGTAAGTCATTTATTGTGAAGTGAAAGCTGTCTGTATTTCAAATCATCCTCACATGCCCACCGCTGTGCCAGCCACCAATACACTGGTTCTCAGCAGTTATATCCACCAGCAGTATTGTAGTCAAACATAGCCATCTAAATGATGGTACACCATCTATGACCATGTCAAAGTGGCATCCTGCATAATGCTAAATTACAGTGTTTCTTTCTTCTTCCTACACCTCAACATTGGACAAGTATGTACCAATGAGTTCCTATCTTCTCTGATGCCCTATTTTAACCGGTCCTATAGCACCATCTCATGGCCAAAAGCTTACAACACAAAATTCTACAGGACCAAGTAAACCATTTCAAAATATATATTTATTCTCATCAAAAGTCATGACATTCAAAAAAGACAACAGCCAAATGCCACAGGTTGATTTAGGCTCAAAAGGTGATAAACATTTAAATCTTCCTTCATACCATTCTGTTAAGTGATACCAAGAAATGGGGCTGGTTGTCAATCACAAATGATCCGTTTTGCATTACAGACTGATCACATATCCTCAGGTGGTTCATGAGTGGTGCAGTTCAGAGGCTGTGCGGCTCTATCAACAGTTTTGATCACTAATACGTGAGCAGAAAAATAAACGTGTGGCCTGGCTGGCTACTGCCTGCACGTCAGTGGATAGAGGTACAGTGAATAGAAAACAAGCACTTTGTGGAGAACCTGGAACAAGTACATTATACAGGCAAACACCACCTTTACTGTGCTTTCAATCAGAGTGGATTTTTATGTACAAAAGCTAGTCAATACCGTCTGGTGCACCTACTTATAAATCCATTCAGTTACAAAATAGAAAACACAGTACATATCAATAGTCATAGAAAAGTGAGCGTATGGAGCCATTTGTGAAGGTCATACAACAATTATATTAAAGTGATAGAAAAAACAACATGTTTATTTCAACACTTGATCAAAAGGGTTGATGTCATCGTAGGCACTTTGGTATTAGTGTAGTACTTGTAGCAACATATTTGTGACGTATATCAACCCTTAAATTCCACAATGCCACAGTGACAGACAGTACGTTCACCTCTTCCATGCAATCAGACTGAGCTTGGTTGCTGAGACAACTACAGCTTCATGCACAGCAGACAATATAACTTGGGTAGGGGAGCGAGTATTCAATGAATACCACAGAACGTTGACAGGAAGGAATGTTCTAAGGAATGCATAGATCAGTTCTTCGGAAGTGGTCGCCTAAACAGCAGAATGTGAGGCTCTGAAAGAATCGAAAAAAAAAAATATGTGACTTACAAATTACAAACCCTTTACATTTAGCCTATGCTTAGCCTGGTCCCAGATCTGTTTGTGCCGTCTTGCCAACTCCTATGGGTCACTCACCGTCAACGGAAAATTGGCAAGAAAACACAAGACCTGGGACCAGGCTATTTGCCTTGAGACATGATCAATGTGGCGTAGACAAAGCATTGAGGGTACAAACCAGGTTCATGGATCATATAGTGCACCCATCCAAGAGACTGCTGCACTCCCATTCGCCTCCACTCATCCTCAGACATCAGGTGGGATTTGGGGACTTGTTTCACCATCTCCCGCGGCAACAGAACATGTCTGTTGAAAGAACAAGTAGAGCAACACTAAACACATTTTTACTGTAATAAATAACGTATTCAAAGTCCATATAGTTTGAATATTTTCTAAAAGTACTGGTTAGTGGTTATGTACTTTATAACCTAAAACCAGTGCGAGTTCATCTTTAGACTATAGCTAGCTAGGCCTATCCAACTGAATGGAACAATAAAAGATGCTAAGATTCAACGTTAGATATTGGTAGGTAACAGTTAAAGTAGCTAGCTAGACCACCACTTCCAATCATGGACCGGTAATCAATGGAATTATCAATTGAAAGCTGAAACTTCCAACTTTCATCAATGACTGTATGAATGGACAAAGCCATCGATCCCGTGACACCATTCATTCTTATGTGAAGACTCAATGGGAGATTTATGTAGACATAAAATGATTAGCTTGAGCTACTTCAAGAAATATTGTTGCAGGCTGGCTCAGTGTTGCCCCCTCTCATTGAGTGTCTCAAGTTAAAGGCTGACTGGAGTACTGCAGGCTACCATTAGCTACTAAATTATCCTTATAACTTCCTCTTTGTGGGATTTTTTAAATAATCAGGACATACATCTCGTGTAATAGAAGCAATTATTGGTTCCATGGTTGTCTTTGAAATTGTTATTAACACAAAGATTGCCTGCAGAACCGCGGTCGGCCTTGAACTTCGTGACTTCGATGAGGGCAGTAGTTAACCCCCAACTTTCACCAAGGGTGGTAAGCAGTAGCTCTAACACTGGGGTCCCAATATCTATGGTGCCTTGCAAAAGTATTCATCCCCCTTGGCATTTTTCCTATTTTGTTGCAATACAACCTGTAATTTAAATGGATTTTTATTTGGATTTCATGTAATGGACATACACAAAGTAGTCCAAATTGGTGCAGTGAAATTCAAAAAATTACTTGTTTCAAAAAAATAAAAAATAACGGAAAAGTGGTGCGTGCATATGTATTCACCCCCTTTGCTATGAAGCCCCTAAATAAGATCTGGTGCAACCAATTACCTTCAGAAGTCACATAATTAGTTAAATAAAGTACACCTGTGTGCAATCTAAGTGTCATATGATCTGTCACATGATCTCAGTATATATATATATATATATACACCTGTTCTGAAAGGCCCCAGAGTCTGCAACACCATGAAGACCAAGGAGCTCTCCAAACAGGTCAGGTACAAAGTTGTGGAGAAGTACAGATCAGGGTTGGGTTATAAAAAAATATCTGAAACTTTGAACATCCCACGGAGCACCATTAAATCCATTATTAAAAAATGGAAAGAATATGGCACCACAACAAACCTGCCAAGAGAGGGCCGCCCACCAAAACTCACGGACCAGGCAAGGAGGGCATTAATCAGAGAGGCAACAAAGAGACCAAAGATAACCCTGAAGGAGCTGCAAAGCTCCACAGCGGAGATTGGAGTATCTGTCCATAGGACCACTTTAAGCCCTACACTCCACAGAGCTGGGCTTTACGGAAGAGTGGCAAGAAAAAAGCCATTGCTTAAAGAAAAAAATAAGCAAACACGTTTGGTGTTCGCCAAAAGGCATGTGGAAGACTCCCCAAACATATGGAAGAAGGTACTCTGGTCAGATGAGACTAAAATTGAGCTTTTGGCCATCAAGGAAAATGCTATGTCTGGCGCAAACCCAACACCTCTCATCACCCTGAGAACACCATCCCCACAGTGAAGCATGGTGGTGGCAGCATCATGCTGTGGGGATGTTTTTCGTCGGCAGGGACTGGGGAAACTGGTCAGAATTGAAGGAAAGATGGATTGCCGCTAAATACAGGGAAATTCTTTAGGGAAACCTGTTTCGGTCTTCCAGAGATTTGAGACTGGGACGGAGGTTCACCTTCCAGCAGGACAAAGACCCTAAGCATACTGCTAAAGCAACACTTGAGTGGTTTAAGGGGAAACATTTAAATTTCTTGGAATGGCCTAGTCAAAGCCCAGACCTCAATCCAATTGAGAATCTGTGGTATGACATAAAGATTGCTGTACACCAGCTGAACCCATCCAACTTGAAGGAGCTGGAGCAGTTTTGCCTTGAAGAATGGGCAAAAATCCCAGTGGCTAGATGTGCCAAGCTTATAGAGACATACCCCAAGAGACTTGCAGCTGTAATTGCTGCAAAACGTGGCTCTACAAAGTATTGACTTTGGGGGGGTGAATAGTTATGCACGCTCAAGGTTTCAGTTTTTTTGTCTTATTTCTTGTTTGTTTCACAATAAAAAATATTTTGCATCTTCAAAGTGGTTGGCATGTTGTGTAAATCAAATGATACAACCCCCCCCCCCCCAAAAAAATCAATTTAAATTCCAGGTTGTAAGGCAACAAAATAGGAAAAATGCCAAGGGGGGTGAATACTTTCGCAAGCCACTGTATGTCCATAGATGATATTAAAGACAATGTAAAGGGAGGAAGAGGGATCGAGGCCAAAAGGTTGATCAGTAGGAAAGAAGGTCCAAGAAGTGAAAGCCTATCAGTGCTGCTGAGGTTTGAGAAGGTTTTGCCTGGCAAAGTACATATAGGATTCTTTAGTTTCAATATCAGAGAATTTGTCCCTTCCCCATTGCGGTGTTTTAAATGCCAAAGAACGGGACATGAAGCTGTTCAATGTAATGGAAGGAAAAGATGTGCCAAGCGTGGAGGGGAACATGATTATGGTGAACGTGGGAGCAATGTAAAGGTTGTGTTGTAATTGTGGGGGGAACATAGTGCAGCATTTGGTGGATGCCAGGTGCAGAGAGGCTAGAGATATAGAATGAGTCATTATGTATCATATGCAGAGGCTGTAAGACAGATTGGTGGAACTACCGTGTGGAATGTTGGAGCTTCCATGGCTGCTCCTGTACTAAGTGGACCTAACGTCGGGGCTGGTGTTTCTGCTGGTCCTGGCATTGTTTCGAGTTCAGAAATCTTGCGCTCTTGAATGTGCGGTGTTAAAGGACACTTTGATAATGAATAAAGTTTACTTCATATTTTTATTGGTAAGGTTATCAATACGACTCGGGTTGTGGAAAGCAGAAATGGCAGGTTGAAGGTTATGGTGGACACGGCAAAAGATATATTGGGGGTAACAGATGTTACTGTTGAAATAGTTGTTGACATGCTGAATAATCCTAAGGGTGGTGTTTCCACATGTGGTAGAAGTTAGTAGGGATGTATTCGTTTTTTATTTTATTTTCAAGGTAATACAGAATTGGGCAGATCATGATTGATCGTACATTCCACAGTAGGTGGCGGCATGCACTTAAACGATTGTTTGCGGACCGCCATGACATCACAGAAGAAGAAGAAGCTGTAGCTCCGTCGTTCTGCAGCGCGCCAATCCACCCACATGCTTGTAGTGGAGATCTGACGCATGCGCATGGATCTGGCGGTAATCAAACGTCGTTTATTTTGTATTTTGAAGAAATGACACCAGGCATATAGAGAAATGTTTGTCAAGACTCTACCTACATCGTCATATATTGAAGTCCGTCATTAATCAAAATTCCCTCAATGTGAGAACAGTGAGTACGCACCCGAACAACGTCATGGACCAGCGCTAACTAAGTAAGCAGAGTAGTAGTACAGATAGAACAATGAGACAGATATTTCACCGGATGTATAAATGTGAAGCATCCGGTTGGCGTTTCCACTCACTACCAAATATGGTGGTGAGAGGAAGCCCAGTGGCTTTCAGAGGGAGAAGATGGATTTTGGCCGATATTCTGCTCGATAAAACATTTAATCTCAATACAGTTCTGTTTCTAAAACTACAATCTGTTACGAACAGAGTGGACACATTTTTGTAGTCTTTACCAAAGTAGTTATAAATATATTTGGTAGTACTACTAGTAGCAGCAAAGATGGAAGAAGTCTAACTCAAATCGTTAACTACCTAGCTAGATAGTAACAGTTTACTGGAGTAATGTAGGATATAAGGAGGAACGACAGTCATTGATGTTGGTAGTTACGCCATTTTTGGTTCAGAGACAACGTTTGTTAGCTAGTTATTCGTGTGGTTTGCGTATTGCTGCCTTTCACAGTTTGGAAAGTGAAGTAGCTACACATTTTGCCCACAAAAAATGGTAATGGGGGGGGGGGTGGAGAGAGAGAAATTGCATCACCATCTAACTCTACATATATACCCCGTACCACTACCTTGGCCCTAACAGAACCTGGCTAATTAAATAAACCACACACGCGAATAGTAGCTACCGTTAGCTGGCTAGCAAGCCAAGTTAATACAGGAAGCGAACATACCTGTATTCATAGTGTTCGTCGTTATATTTGTCTGAGTAGTAGATTTGTTTGTGTGACATATTGCCAATAAAATAACTTGAAGACAGTATACACATACAATTCCACTGCACTTCGTTAGCAAGTATTCCACGAACGTCCCCACTGCTAGCTTTCTTGCGACACGTACGGCTAACCGATTCAAACCTAATGGAGGAAGGAAAAAAAAAAAAACCCGTACCAAGCCCCTGATTGGATAAAAAGGGATCACATGACAATAACTAGGCATGTGGAAGTCCGATGAGGGGAAAAACATGTCCATCCTAGGCAAATCAAATGCCTAAATTACACCATTCACAACAATAATATATTTGCGTTTCATCAAATAATTGTGATAGCTATGACAACAACAAAACAATTTCATTCACTTTGCAGTTGCGTCCTGCAACATTGTAACGAATGCTGGAACGTACGACTTCAGCAACCGTAGCACTCTGATAGCGCCTAGCAAGGTAGCTACGTTGTATCATATCGGAGAGGACGAAACTAAGCGAGAGGGTTTACTCCGCCAAAGATATGGAAATACTGACAAGATACATATCTCTCCGCCCTAACTTTGTCCACAAAGTGGCAAGGTGGGCTGTCTAGCTCCCGCCTATCCTTTATTTCAATTGGTGGATACATCTCATTATTGTAATCCTTTTTTTTTTTTTTATATTCGATGAGGGTTGTTGATGTCAGCAGCCTGTATTCAATGGAGAGAGACGCTATGCTACTAGCCTCATATCATGAATATGCAAAGCCATCTCGCGACAACTCCGATATAAAGTATTTTTTCTCAATGTTGACAGGATGTCACGTGTCCTATTTATATCAGTACACCCATAAAACTTACCATGCACTCACTAACTGTAAGTCGCTCTGGATAAGAGCGTCTGCTAATGACTAAAATGTAAACTTAAGCATTACGAAACTCCTATTAGATCAAATAAACCTCACTTTCTTCCTCTTACTCTCTGACTCCGCTCAAAATCTGTCCACGAAAATAAGACCACGAAGTTAATCATTGTTGTATGGAGTTCAATGAGAGACTGTCGAGTTTGGTAAACGAAAAAAATTATGGCTTATTTGCTTCATCAGGTTTATTTGATCAAATAGAAGTTTTGTAATGTTTCAAGTTTCAAGTACAGTGAAATGCCTTTCTTGCAAGCTCTAAACCCAACCACTAATGCAGTAATCAAGTGCAGCAGCAGAGAGAACAGTCTATGGCTTGGGTGGCTGGAGTCCTTCATGATTTTCCGGGCCTTCCTTTCACACAGCCTGATATAGAGGTCCTGGATGGCAGGGAGCTCGGCCCCAGTGATGTACTGGACTGTCCGCACCACTCTCTGTAGCGCCGTGCGATCGAAGGCGGTGCCTTTGCCATACCAAGCATTAATGCAGCCAGTCAAGATGCTCTCAATGGTGCAGCTGTATAACCTTTTGAGGATTTGGGGGCCCATGCCAAACCTTTTCAACCTCCTGAGGTTATTTTGTTCCCAATAGAAATGAATGGTAAGTAAATGTATTGTGTCATTTTGGAGTCACTTTTATTCTAAATAATAATAGAATATGTTTCTAAACACTTCTACATTAATGTGGATGCTACCATGGTTACGGATCATCTTGAATGAATCGTGAGTAATGATGAGTGAGAAAGTTACAGACGCACAAATATCATCCCCCCTGTTATTGTAATGGTGAGAGGTTAGCTTGTCTTGGGGGTATGATATTATTACATTGTTATTTACCATTCATTTCTATTGGGCACAAAATAATTCTGAACACAGCCAAAACAAACAGAAAATGCATCCAGCAAGTTTGTAGAGTCACAAGCTTGATGTAATCATTGCATGCTAGGAATATGGGACCAAATACTAAACATTTAATTACTTTAATACACATATAAGTGAATTTGTCCCAATACTTTTGGTCCCCTAAAATGTACATAAAGTGCTAATTTCTAAACGATTCACCCGATATGGATGAAAATACCCTCAAATTAAAGCTGTCAGTCTGCACTTTAACCTGATAGTCATTGTTTGATTTCAAATCCAAACGTTTGGAATATAGAGCCAAAAGAAGAAAGATTACTGAGGGCACTGTAAGTTATCATGAACTTCAAAGGGTGTTGAAAGTGCAAGGTGATGAGCTTGATACTCCTTTTCAATAAAGTGAGCAGTTCTCCTTTGCCAACATAATCCATCCACCTGAGAGGTGTGGCATATCAACAAGCTGATTAAACAGCAAGATCATTACACAGGTGCACCTTGCGCTGGGGACAATGAAAAGCCATGCTAAAATGTGCAGTTTTGTCATTCAACACAATGCCACAGATGTCTCAAAGTTTGGGGGAGCGTGCAATTGGCATGCTGACTGCAGGAATCTCCACCAGAGCTGTTGCCAGAGAATTGAATGTTCATTTCTCTACCATAAGCCTCCTCCAACGTTGTTTTATAGAATCTGACAGTAACTCCAACCAGCCTCACAACCACAGACCACGTGTATGGTGTCGTGTGGGCGAGCGGTTTGCTGATGTCAATGTTGTGTCTCTCTCGCTCTGTCTGGGGGGTCTTATTCTGTTGACATGATAATCGATGCTTGGTTGCCGTTTGAAAAATATAAATAATCTTGCTCTTTTGTCCATATAATCTCATCATGTAGGCTATACGTGCGCTAGAGCGCACTTGCAGATACCAGAGTGGGCACACTCCTTATTTAACGCACTTGCCAATACCAGAGTGGGCACACTCACTATATACAGTGCCTTTGGAAAGTATTCAGACCCCTTGACTTTTTCCACATTTTGTTACGTTACAGCCTTATTCTAAAATTGATGAAATTGTTTTTTTCCCCCTCATCAATCTACACACAATACCCAATAATGACAAAGCGAAAACAGGTTTTTATACATTTTTGCAAATTTATAAAAATAAAAAACGGAAATATCACATTTACATAAGTATTCAGACCCTTTACTCAGTACTTTGTTGAAGCACCTTTGGCAGTGATTACAGCATCGAGTCTTCTTAGGTATGACTCTACAATCTTGGCACACCTGTATTTGGGGAGTTTTTCCCCATTATTCTCTGCAGATCCTCTCAAGCTCTGTCAGGTTGGATGGGGAGAGTTGCTGCACAGCTATTTTCAGGTCTCTCCAGAGATGTTTGATCGGGTTCAAGTACAGGCTCTGGCTGGGCCACTCAAGGACATTCAGAGACTTGTCCCGAAGCCACTCCTGCGTTATCTTGGCTGTGTGCTTAGGGTCGTTGTCTTGTTGGAAGGTGAACCTTCGCCCCAGTCTGAGGTCCTGAGCGCTCTGGAGCAGGTTTTCATCAAGGATCTCTGTACTTCGCTCCGTTAATCTTTGCCTCGATCCTGACTAGTCTCCCAGTCCCTGCTGCTGAAAAACATCCGCACAGCATGATGCTGCCACCACCATGCTTCACCGTAGGGATGGTGCCAGGTTACATCTTGGTTTCATCAGACCAGAGAATCTTGTTTCTCATGGTCTGAGAGTCTTTAGGTGCCTTTTGCCAAACTCCATGCGGGCTGTCATGTGCCTTTTACTGAGGAGTGGCTTCCGTCTGGCCTCTCTACCATAAAGGCCTGATTGGTGGAGTGCTGGAGAGATGGTCGTCCTTCTGGAAGGTTCTCACATCTCCACAGAGGAACTCCAGAGCTCTGTCAGAGTGACCATTGGGTTCTTGGTCACCTCCCTGACCAAGGCCCTTCTCTACCGATTGCTCAGTTTGGCCGGGCGGCCAGCTCTAGGAAGAGTCTTGGTGGTTCCAAACTTCTAACATTAAAGAATGATGGAGGCCACTGTGTTCTTGGGGATTCAATGCTGCAGAAATGTGTTGGTACCCTTCCCCAGATCTGTGCCTTGACACAATCCTGTCTCAGAGCTCTACGGACAATTCCTTCGACCTCATGGCTTGGATTTTGCTCTGACCTGCACTGTCAACTGCGGGACCTTATATAGACAGCTGTGTGCCTTTCCAAATAATGTCCAATCAATTGAATTTACCACAGGTGGACTCCAATCAAGTTGTAGAAACATCTCAAGGATGATCAATGGAAACAGGATCCACCGGAGCTCAATTTCGAGTCTCATAGCAAAGGGTCTGAATACTTATGTAAATTAGGTATTTCTGGAGAGATTGAAAATGACAGTGAATATGCCTGCCAGCTGTTTTGCGCTTGGTTGCGGTTGGGTTTTTACAAATGCTCCGATATAAGTGGACACGTGGCATTTCGGCAACTTTGAAACCCACTTTATATCAGAGTGGTGCCTGTTGATCATACGCGTAGCTATAATGATCCCACCTGACCATTGTTAGAGCGGTCACTCGACCGTCTTGTCCATATACAGTGAGGGAAAAAGTATTTGATCCCCTGCTGATTTTGTACGTTTTCCCACTGACAAAGACATGATCAGTCTATAATTTAAATGGTATGTTTATTTGAACAGTGAGAGACAGAATAACAACAAAAAAATCCAGAAAAACGTATGTCAAAAATGTTATAAATTGATTTGCATTTTAATGAGGGAAATAAGTATTTGACCCCTCTGCAAAACACGACTTAGTACTTGGTGGCAAAACCCTTGTTGGCAATCATAGAGGTCAGACGTTTCTTGTAGTTGGCCACCTGGTTTGCACACATCTCAGGAGGGATTTTGTTCCACTCCTCTTTGCAGATCTTCTCCAAGTCATTAAGGTTTTGAGGCTGACGTTTGGCAACTCGAACCTTCAGCTCCCTCCACAGATTTTCTATGGGATTAAGGTCTGGAGACTGGCTAGGCCACTCCAGGACCTTAATGTCCTTCTTCTTGAGCCACTCCTTTGTTGCCTTGGCCGTGTGTTTTGGGTCATTGTCATGCTGGAATACCCATCCACGACCCATTTTCAATGCCCTGGCTGAGGGAAGGAGGTTCTCACCCAAGATTTGACGGTACATGGCCCCATCCATCATCCCTTTGATGCGGTGAAGTTGTCCTGTCCCCTTAGCAGAAAAACACCCCCAAAGCATAATGTTTCCA